AGATACACAGGCAAGGGGTAGAGAAATGTATCTTATGCTACAGGAAAATAGAAGGGGAAAGGGATAAGAGAAGGGGGGTGATAGAAGGGAGGGCAAATTGGGTTAAGGGGTAAGAAGAAGCAAAACACTTTTGACAAGGGACAGGGTGAAAGGAGAGAAAGAACAGAACAGATAGGGGTAAGGGAATAGGATGGAGGGAAATATAGGCAGCAACAGTAAGTGTGAAAAAAAATCTTTCTTGAAGCAAGTTTCTCTGATAAAGACCTCATTTCTCTACCATACAGATACTATAAGTAATGATGAGCATGATGCTTTCCAAAACAACCTGGAAAGATTACATTACATGGGTTCATGCAAACTTAAATGTACTGGGTACAAAGTAACAACCATACAGTCAGATGATCAGCTGGGAATGACTTAGCTCTTCTTAGCAATGCAAGGAAGGATCCATGACAGATCTGAAGGATTTAGGATTAAAAATACTTTCCATCTCCAGTGAGAGAACTGATGGTGTCTGAATACAGAATGAAGCACCTGGTTTTTTTTTTTCACTTTCTTTATTTTTCCTGAGTCTTTTTGTCTATGTTTTCTTTCACAAACTGAGTGTTATGGCTATGTTTTGCATGACTACAAATATATAACCTGTATGGAATTGCTTGCCTTTTCAATAAGGGGGTGGTGATGGGGAGGGAGAAAAGGAGAGACTTTGGAACTGAAAGTTTTAAAACAAATGTTAGGGGCAACTAGGTGGTGTAGTGGATAGAGCACTGGCCCTGAAATTAGGAGGACCTGAGTACAAATACAGCCTCAGACCAAATGCTTACTAACTCTGTGTGAACCTAGGCAAGTCACTTAACCCAAAAAACAAAAACAAAACCAACAAAACAACGACAACAACAACAAAAACACAAACAAGTAAAAACAAATGTTAACAAATTAAAATAAAAATAGTAAAAAATATTAGCTGGCCTTGACCCTCTGGGCATCTCTGAGGCCCAGAAGGCCCTCCTGAATATTGGAGGGCCATTCCCACTCCCTTTAGAGTTTAAAGGTGCTGTGGACCCCCCACCTTTGGAATAAGCTCCAAGTCAACTCCAGTAGCAGCCAGGGGTAGGCAGTGTGGCAGGATGGAAGGGCTGTTGGGTCTAGAGGGCAGTGGGAGCAGGTGCTCCACCCACATGAGGAGCGTGGCCCCTAGCCCACAGGGGAGTTCCTAAACATGATCCCGAGCAAGCTGAAGGTCTCACCTCTAGGCCATAGTGAAAGAAGGAAGCAGGGAATTCTCCAGAAAGCTGTGGATTCAGACCCAGCAGTCTAGGGAAGGACTTAGCTGTCTCCTTAGGTACCTGTGTGGGCCCTACCGGGCCAGGGTCAGGCCAGGAGAAATGTTAGGGAGATGAAGGGTCTGTAGAGCTGGGAACAGGAACAGTGCCCTCCTCTATGCCAGTCCATAGTGTCTGCCCCTCTGCTTTTCTGGCAACTTTCTGTGCTGTGGCACATCTGCCCGCCCCCAGAGTCCACCCCAGGCACAGGTGTCTCTACTCCATCCCCTAACCCTTCTGCCCCAGATCCTCAGATACAGGCGAGTCCATGACTTGAGTTGAGTCCTTTAGTGCCCGGCCTGTTTGCCCCCCTGCTTCATATCACTCTCTTACACACACCTCAAATATCGCTTTTGGTATAAAGAAGATCCTAGACAGTTCCAAAGACTGGTGTCTCAAAGGCTTTTTATTAATGAGGTTCAAGTGTGTCCTTTCAATTCTCTGGAAAAGTGTGCACACATCCTTTGAAGCAGAGAGTGCACTGAGTACAGAAACAAGAACAAGCTTTATAGTTAATAATTGCCTAACTCCTCCCTTCTGGATCAGGATTGGTCTTAATCCTTCTGGTTTACAATCTTCCTTGTTCGCCCAGTTTATATATTTTATATACATGTGATCCCCACCCTTAACATACATTTTGTGCCTAGAATTGGGTTGTCCCTCCCCCTCCCTGGATGGAGGTTAGCCTGTCTGTGCTGATTTCTTACCTACTTATGTGCAAACTTAAATCTTTTATTTCTCATAATTCCTCCTTTTCATTAATTTTATTTATTTATTTATTTATTTGCTTACTTATTTATTTAATTATCTATTTATTTATTTTTAAGATTTGGTTTGCACACCTTCCTTCTCAATTTCCTTATCCTCTAATGTCCTATACACAATTTTGAATTCTCCATCACTGGGGAAAGTCTCATTGGTACTTTCAATCATCATCCTTATATTGCCAGAGCCTGCCCTCCAAACTCCCACTGTGGGTTCTACTGGGACAATCTTTAGTGAGGGATGTTTCTATCAATTGCCGTACCAGTCCCCTGATGCATGGAACTATACAACATCCTACAGCAGTTAATACTCCTGAATGAATGCAGTCATTCCTTTCCATTTGCCAAACCAGGATTCTAACCATCCCTTTAATTAGTTATCTATCCCAGAATTCTCTGTCAACTCCTCAGCTAACGTGGTTAAACCTTGCAGTGCCTTAGTGATGGTTCTATCTGGAGCTGTGCTGCTGGGCAACATTTTATCAAGGGAGTTAGGAGACTTAAAACAATGTGGGAGAAGGAAGGGAGGAATTGACCAACACATTGACAAATTCAAAAGGAGGCAGTCCTCTTATTGAGTACAGATACAGAGACCCAAAAGTAATGATGAATTGTCCATTTAAAGCTTCAGAAGTTTCTTTTCATAAAGCTGTCTGACACTCTGGACATCATGTGGTGAAGTCTTCTGATAAATGTTGCTTAAACAGTGTCCAGCAGACTCTCTTCTTGTAGAAATCCTCCTTCTTGCGTCCATTCTCCCACAAGATTGATCTTAACACAATTTTTAAATTACCTCAATAACCAAGGCAAATAATGACAATTAACTAAATCCCTATGTCTTCACCATTGCGAGAGTAAATGTCAGCAAAGACTGGCCAAAACCAGAGCCCAGCTGCCCTCTGGGAAACACCCTTAACTGGGACAGCGCCAGGCCAAGGACTATCCTCACCGGATGAAAGCCTGGCTGCCTCTAGTCTAAGCTCGGTTCTCTATGTCCTTGCAGTTCCTCTAGCGAGGGCCCAGGGTTCTCCATGCGTCACCCCGCTACCCACCACAGGACGTGGATATGGAGGCGAACACAGAAGGGGCAGTCAGCTGACCGACTTAGCAGTATCAGCAGGTACCCAGTAGAGCCACGCTGTGGCATGGAGTGGCCATCAGAAAAGATGTTAGAAAGGTAGAAGGTCTGGATCTCGGTGCCCTTCACTGTACCAGGGCCCAGTGTCTGCACCTGGTCTTTTCTGCCGACCGTCTGAGTCAGTGCACATCTGCACTACCAAGATTACGCCCCTGAGCACTGCTGCCTCTGCACCATCCCCTAAACTCTTTCCCCAAAATACCCAGGAACAGTGGTGGCCATGACTGAGTGGGGTCCCTCAGTGCCAAGACTGTTTACCCTGGCCCCAGGTGCTCCTCTTGGCCGGCCAGAATGGGGCTTGTTACTGCCCCCCCCATACGCAGGCTTGGCTAGGCTCATCCTGACAGTGGTAGAGGCCAGATGTTCTCCAGCAAACTCTAAAGTGGGGCACCCTAGTGCAAGGATGATCCTCCGAAGGTGAAGGCCCAGGCTCACCCTAGCCCCACCTAATGCCCCCTTTCTCGTGGCCCCTTAGACATGGATGCCATGTTCCCCTCACCTTCCTGCTCTCCTCATCTGGGTCCTTGCAAAAGGACTCAGAGGTGGAGGCCAACGAGAAAGGGGCAGTAGGGGCAGGGTAGGGGGAGCCTGCCCAGTTACAGGGGCTAGCCTATTATGCCAGGATTGGGGTGGCAGAGTAGGTGTGTGGAGGTGGAGTGTCTTGAGCCCTGTCAGGGCATGGTTTTCTCCTCTGTGCCAGGGCATAGTGGCTGCCCCTTCTCTTCTCTGCAAATCCTCTTTGCCAAGGCACATCTGCCTGTGCTCCATCCCGAACTTCTCCCCCCGCAAATCCCCAGGTACAGAAGTGTCCATGATAAAATTGAGTCCTCCAATGCCAAGCCTGGTTGCCCCCCTAATTCATCTTCCTCTCCCACAAAAAAACTCCAATATCGAGTTGCATAGGCCTTGACAAATTAGAAATCCCTGAGGGGGCATTGAGGTTGGAGCTTAGTGACCTGGTAGATGGGAAGGCTCAGGGAATGCCTTGGAAGTACTTCCTGGCAGTGTGGGAATCCCAGGGGAGCTTATCACTTGTCTATTTACTCATCGGTAGTATGACTTTGATAATCCTTAAGAGTTGTGATGACCAAATGAAGAAAAAAGCAAAAGAGAAAAACCCTGTCCTTCCAGCATTGTTACCCATGAAACCCATTACCTGAAGTCAGGGTTAGTATCAGCTGTTTAGCTTGGACTGGGACAGAGTGCTTGCCTGTGTGAGAGATGATCTCTCAGACATGAAGCTTCCTCAGGGAATCAATGGTTCTTGTTAACATTTCCTGATGCTTTCAAAAGCCTCCCCCACTCAGACCTTGTTTTTTTTTTTAATGCTCAGCAGAAAGAATAAGCCCTGCCCCCAACCTGAACTGTTTTCCATTTCAAAAACTTCCCTCAGTTTCTTGTCTCTGGGCAAACTTGTGTAACTACCTTTGTTCTAGATTTCCATGAAAAGATTGTGCCCCCCCCCCCCAAGCCCAGCCAATGGAATAAGGGAAACTGGGTTAGGGAGGAGGAACTCGTACTCTCCTGGCCCACAATGGCCACTAAGGGGGTACCCTTTCTCATGAGAAAGCAGTAAACTCCTTTCTGCTTTCAAGGTATCTAAGTCTTTGTTTTTATTTTTGAGTAAGTGGTCTCTGTTCTACACAGTTGGGGACTCTCCGGGCTTTCCTACCTTATCTGAGAAGGGCCTCTCAGCCAGTCTTAGGACAGGCACCTGCCAGCCCGCTTCCCAGTGGTCCAAGGAATGGTTTGGGAGTTTCTTTTCACTTTTAAGGAATGTACCAGAAGAAAGACAGATACCTGAAAGCAGAAATCTCAGAAACAGAACAAGGACTACCACCTGCTGAAGAATTTGAAGAATTTGAATCTAGTGAGTCTCTGGGTAAGAGGGGGTAGGGTGGGAACAAGCTACTTCTCATTTCTTTTTCCTACTTTGGGGAATTTCTAGAATTCCTCAACAAGCAAAGTCTTTGAAGATGTTTAGGCACAGTGAGAACCTGCCCTCACTTACCACCTAGATGTTGATGGAGGTAGCAGCAGCAACCATAGCAGCAATGGCTGGAGTTCCTCTGTGGTTGGCCAGCACACTAAATTCAAGGAGAGTTCCCTCAGGTGAGAGGAGCCAGAGCTAGGCTAGGCCATCTTCACCATCACAACTGCCCATGGCAGCCAAGGGCCTTGGCTGCTGCCATGTGCACATTTCTTTCCAGTCCCAATTTTTAGTAGAGATATCCAGGGAGAGAACTAGGGAGGAACAACTTTGAGCACGGAGAAGGCCGAGAACCCTGGGGCCTGAAGCTGGGCAGAGAAGAACCCCTCTAAGCCATGGACCTCTTTTCCCTAGCCCCAGCACACATGGTTCTTAGGGTGAGCTGCAGGGCCCAGCAACAGCACAGAAAGCCAGGTGGAAGAAGGGCCTGGGGGTGAGGAAACAGGTTCAGGTGGCTCTTAGCTTTTCTCATACCTCATCATGGTGGTTTAATTTGGAAAGAGGCCCTCCCTGGCCCATGGGAGCTATGGCTTCGTCAGATCCTGCCTTTCATGGGAAAATTTATTCATCTGTTTAAGGAGTAAGAACAGGAACAGAGGGCTTTGGGTATCATTTCTTTTCAACCTGGAAGTCTCCAGCCAAGTCTCATTGCACTCTTGGCCTTGCCCCCTCCCTTTCTTTTTCACCCTTTATCTTTTTCAGTAGGGTCAAAGGCCTCTTACCATTCCCTCTCCTGGCCAAAATCACCTGCAACACCCCTGGATCCTCCTCAGGATATATCTCTGAGGATGAAGGTGAAGATAGGCATCACTTCCTCTTCCCTAGACCCCAACTCCCAGGCACTGCCCGACTCACTTCAAATGGTGCTGAGACCAGATAGAGTAACTCCAAGTCAGTGTGTGGAGATCGGCTTAATAGACAAGGATCCCCAAGCACAGCTAGAGAGCCTTGGGAGGATGCAAGACCAGAATAGCAAGCAGCAGCTATAGAGTTGGCAGCTAGGAAGAGGCTAGCTCTGGGACATGATGGGCTTGCAGGGTGAAGCCTTTGAATCCCTATGCTGAGACTTTTACAAGTTGGCTCTTTGGCCTGCTCTGCTGGTGCCTTGATACCACCTGGTAGTGCCTGACTACAGCTGTTTGCCTATAGGACATCTCTGTGTTAACCAGGTCGGTTGAGGCCTCCCTAGGGACTGCCAGAATCAAAGATCCACAGCTCCAAAGGAATCCACAGTCCTTGAAATCAATTTCCCCATGTGCTTTGCCCTGTTTGTTTTCAGCTTTTTCAGACTTTTATGCCATGAATGTTATGACAGAGTCAGGTAGGGTCAAGGGTGCGCTGGAACCAGCTGGAAATTGCTTGTGAAAGTCAGCTACCATTCAGGCCTTCATGGAGTGTCTCCACTGAAGAAGATGATGGGAGAAGTGGCCTGTGTGTGCTTTGACTTCCTTCAAAGCTGGTTGTTCAACATTTACCAGCACAGGCCAGCCACCTTACTCTTGGCTCTTCTGGGAATTGGGTTGGCTCTGACTCCAGGTAGGATTCTCTTCCTGAGTATCTTTTAGGAGCTCTCCCCTCATTACTTCCTGCCTCTGATCTACACTGACTCTGGTGAGTTCATCTTTATTAGTCTGAGGGTCCTGTGTTTCTAGGGACACTCTTTACCTTAGGGTTTGAATCCAGAATTTTCTTCCCAGACCTCCAGTTTGCCAGGTCATTCTTGCAGTTTCTCTGTGGAAATCCTGCCCAGGATTCTAGGCTGCTTCCAGGTCTGAGTTCAGGAACCTCTGGATCAGGGCTGGGGACCCTGGGGCCTCAAGGCCACATGTGGTCTTCTAGGTCCTTGAGGGGGGCCTTTTTGCTGAATTCAAGTTTTACGGAACAAATCCTTTACTGAAGGGGATCAATTCAGTGAATGCTGGCCACACTGAAAGACCTAGAAGGCCACTTATGCCTCAAGGCCTGGAGGTGGGCCACCCCAGCCCTGGATTCTTTTAGCCACAGGCTGGGCCAGTGGTGACAAAGCCACCTTAGCAGGGGTTCCTCCTGCAGCTCTTCCAAGTCCAAATTGAAAAACACTGTAAGGATTTAGAAAAAAGAACTGCCTAATTCATGAGCAGCATATTAACACAGTTCTGATGGAGGCCTGATAAGGAGACATCTTCCTCCTGTCTTCCCAAAAGGCAGCATGTCACCTAACATAACAGCTTGAATACATTTCACAAAGGCCAAGTTTCCTTCTTGCACTTTACCCTGAGGGCTGTCCATAAAAGCCCAGCTCATCACATGTTAGGTGCCCAGTGGCAGTGGGTGGATGTGAGGGGTGGCACACCCTTTTGAGTGTTTCATTTGCCAGTCAGGGAGGGCCTCACAGGATCCTGTGGTGGTGCAGGGCAGGTGCTACCATCTCCTCCTTCACCCTGATGAAATCCAGGAGCTTTTATACTGAGAAGAAGTTGCTCCTCTTTGTCTTAGGGATGCTATTGCTTGTGTCTTCACTGGCTTATGGTGAGTGTTGTTGAATGCCCAGGGCAGCTGGGGTGGGTGATTAGGGTAGGGGGGACAGTCAAGGGCTTGGGGACAGGGCAGCCAAAGGAAAGTTTGGAAGACACAGCTTTGAAGGGGGAGTCTTTAGGGAACCCAAGGGACAAAAGCCCTGACAAAAGAGAACCAGGCCATGTAGGGGTAAGTTCTCATGCCTAAAATGTATGAGTTATATTCTGTCTCTCATTCTTCTCTCCATCCAACCCAACAAAATTTTATTGTGCATTTTGTATAAGCAGGCCTCACAGCCTAAGGCTGCAAGGTAGGACTGGCTGTCTAGCCTATCTTGAGCATGTCTTCTACAAGAAGGTGTTTTATCTGTGCCCTCCAGGGTCACTCACAAGGCACTGGAGGGTGGGGGATTGGTAGAGGAGCTGAGTCAGGAAGAAATCAGTTATCAGGGCAGGACACAGCCAAGGCCATGTCTTGAGGGCTTCGTCTCTTTTCGTTGGTGAGAACAGACAGGGTGGTCCCCCCTGGATGATCCCAGAAGGGCTGGACTCTTGGTCAGGAGCCATGACATCACTCAGCCCATACTGTGAGATAAACTCCAGCTCAGAAATGATGACACCACAAGCCGAAGGTCGCCAGGGTGTGTCTGCAGGCAGCCTCTCTGTAGAGCATCCTGGTGCTCATGGAGAAGGGACAGGACTGTGTGTTGACCAGGCTTGGGACCATGAGGCAGGACTTCTGGCTTCAGTCTCCATGTCCTCTCCCCAGCTGAATCTTATCCTTCATTTTTGCCATCATCCAAATGTGTCTAATGAATTCTGAGAGAGGGAACTCTTAGAGTACAACGGGCTCTAGCTGTAGCCTTTCAGATCTTGGCGCCACTCACGCATTTGCCTTCCTTGGGCTGGGGTCTGAGCCCACATAAATGTGACACTGCCAGAGTCAGTGTGGATGGAGGTCCCTTCTGGTACTTCAGCCTCTGCCTCAATTAGCCTTTCCTCCCATGTAAGAGGTGCTTGGTATTTCTACCCCTCTGGAATCTGGCCCTTCCACCCTGCTATGGTCTCTTGGTGGGCAGCCAAGGGGAGCAGCAGGAGAGAGGACGTGTGGGAATTGGGAGAATGAAACTCATATTTGTAAGTGAGTGCCCCACTGAGTGCCATGTACACTTTGCACAGGACAGGCAGACAACCCACTCACAGTCCAGTTCATTTCTCTCAACCCAGGGTTACTCAGCCAAGCAGCATTTATTAAGCATGGACTACTGTGGGTCAGGCACTGTCCTAAGGCAAAACCAAAGAAACAACCCCACAATCCTTGCCCTCGAGGAGCTGGCAGTCTCCTCATGAGGAGACATCTAGGTACCAAGAAGACCTAACAGGACAAATGGGAGTGAAGCATTAGAGAGTGTTGGCTCCGATGTTTATTGTAGGGTGGCCATACAGCCTATTGCCATGCCCTCCTTGAAGGCTGCCCTGGATTGGCAGGATCTGCCATCTAGTGTCCTCTGCTGGCACTGTCTTTCAGACCCCAGGGTCAGCTCTGCAGGCATCAGAGGAGGGAGAAGCCGCATTAGCCAGAGAAAGCTGCTTTTGTTTTCATTCTTTTAATTAGCAACAATCTATTTTCTTTTCTTCCCACCTCCCATCCATTTGAAAAACTGAAGAATAAACCGCTTGTTACAAACATGCAGAGAAAAGCAAACCAGTCCCTTCTTGGCCACGTCTAAAAGATGTATTTTCTCTTCTACCTTGAGTCCATCCCCTGTCCATCAGAAATTGCATCATTTGCCAGAAGAGTAGATGTTCACTGCCTTCAACAGAGTAATGAAGTCTTCCAAAGTGGTTTATCTTTGTGTTTCTGCTCACTCTTCTCTATATATCACTTCACACAAGTCTTTTTTAGTTCTCTCTGAACACCACCCCTTTCATTACTTCTAAGTTTACAGTAGGAATCTATTCAATCCCTACACCATAATTTCTTTTTTTCCTACACCATCATTTGTTCAGCTCTTGAACAAGTGGGGGGTAATCCCTTACTTTCCCATTCCTATCCACAGCAAGAAAAATTGGCCATCAATATTTTTCTCCATTTTGGACTTTTTCCTCTCTGTTTCATCTCTTTGGGGGATAGGCCAAGAAGTTGTCTTGCCAGATGAGTGGGTAGACAGATTTTATGATCTTTGGGGGCAATGCTCTTAACTGCTTTCCAGAATGGCTGGACTAGTTTACAATTCCTACTTGGAGCATTGTTGTTGAGTCTTGTCTGGTGAGGCCCACTCTCTGTCATCTCATTTGGGAATTTTCTTGGCAGAGCTCCTGGAGTGCTTTGCCATTTCCTTCTCCAGATCATTTTTAAAGTTGAGGAAATGGAGGCAAACAGGGTGAACTATCTTACCCAGGATCACACGTGAAATAACTGAGAGCAGGCCTAGCACTCTATGCACTCTCGCGCCTCCTAGCTACCCTAGTCGAACAGCAATGTGCCTGATTTCTCACAGCCTCTCCAACATAGGTTGTTTTGATAAGATCTATTTTTGCTTTTGCTTTGTCTGAGATCAGGATTTGCGCCCCGGCTTTTTTTTTTTTTACTTCAGCTGAAGTATAATATATTCTGCTCCAGCCTTTTACCTTTACCCTGTATGTGTCACTCTTTTTCCAATGGGTTTCCTGTAAACAACATATTGTAGGATTATGGCTTTTAATCCATTCTGCTATCTTCTTCCGTTTTATGTGAGGGTTCATCCCATTCACATTAACAGTTAGAATTACTATCTCTGTCTTTTTGTTCATCCTTTGTCCCCGTTTATGCTTTTCTTTCTCCTTTCTCCTTTCCCCACTCACTAATGTTTTGCTTTTGACCACTGCCTCCTTCAGACCCTCCTCCCTTCTATTAGACCTTTCTCTTTTCTTCCCCTTTACCCTTACTGCTTCTTCCCTCTCTTTGATCCCCCCTCCCCTTTCTTTCCCTTTTTCTTTCCTACTACCTATATGGCAAGCTATATTTTTATAGCTATCTGATTATGTTATTCCCTTCTTGAGGTAAATCTGATGAGAGTAAGATTCAAACAATGCTCACCCCTCTCCCTTCTTTCCCTCTGCTGTAATAGGTTTTTGTGTCTTTTTCTGCAATGTAATTTACCCTTGTCTGCCTCCTGCTTTCTCAGTATGTTTTCTAGGATCAGACTAATCCATTTACTTGGATCCATTTAACCCACTTGCTTAGATTTTTTTTATCATTACATCAACATCAACTTATATCCACCCCCTTTAAGTTTACTACTTCAACAAGGTGTAAT